TCTATAATGTTGTGTCCTTTATTGTTTTAGAAATATGTTTCAGGTGTTGGAACTTTATACGTAGCCTGTTGGCACATGAATAGGATGTAATGTAACATTTTTTTTAATAGTAAAAAAATTATATAGCAAAACTGGAAAAAAGGAGAATATACCCCGAAAAATGTTGTTGGGGTGTCGGTTAGCTGAGTCCTTGCTCCAGAGGCCCTCGGTTCGAGTCCAACCCATGGCCCTTTGCTGCATGTCGTTCCCCCTCTCTCCCACATTTCCTGCCTTTCAACTGTCCTATCTTAAATAAAGGCACAAAAAGAGATGGATCCTTCAGTCACGTTATTAGTGGTGTTGGACAGTTTGTCTACCAGAGGGGCACTCTGCCACACTCCTGTTGGTAACACGTTTTAGAACGCCTCAAATCCACCACAAAACACTGTAATCGGCTGTACTGTTGGTCAGAGTACTATTTATAACCATAAAGTGTATTTTTAAACTGCATTATGTCATATTATCTCGGTGAGATCTCATAACAAATGTTAGGGGTAGTCTTTGTTTATGAAATGTGTTTCTGAAAAGAAAAAAAATTGAATATTGCTGATTATCGGATTTTTAAAATCCTCAAATATCAAAATGGCTATCAGCCTTAAAACATCCATTTTAGTCAGGCTTTAAATACACAAATAAGTTGTATCTGAACAGATTTTCATACGATGGACGGTCATTTTTAGATGAATAACTTAATATACAGCATTAGTTAAAATTCAACATTTTCGTGTATATTCGTTCTTAACTCTCTCCCTCAAACTATTTATATTTAATTCTCAATGTATTAATGATATTTATTTTTTACTCTCTGCGGACACATTGTGTCCAACAGGTTTTGTTCCTGTTTATGTAAATCTATTTTAAAAGGCCAGAGATTAGGCTGATTAGTGTAACCTGTAAATATATTATACTAACATTATACTTTCTATTTAATGCTATAATATTTATATTTAAGGTGGTGATGGCACAATGGATAAGCCACATCCCTTTCTCTAAGTGGATGTACATACAGCTAATGTTTTTATACTTACATCATGGTTACATATCCAGTTCGCAATAGCCTCTGCTAATGTCCCGTGTATTAATAGACGTTCCTGCCTCTGGTGTAAAATTGTTTTATATTACCTAACCTGTGCCTTCCGTTCTCTCTCTGCTTTTGGTCTTCAGGTTTCATTACAATGACGCCACAGCTATTCATCAACTACAAAATGAAGTCTGTGGCCCACCTCCCATGGAGGATGCTCACCTACAAGGCTCTCAATACCTTCATTGATGACCTGTTTGCCTTTGTCATCAAGATGCCCATGATGTACAGGATAGGATGCCTCAGAGATGGTAAGTCTTCCCTGATCTTGCCTAGATGTTTATTTTTTATTTTATGACTTTACCAGGATCAGCCAACATTCAGAAGGAGCCATTCTGAGTTTGTAGCTTGATGGTGAAGCAGTGTGTTTTTTTTTGTTCTAGAGGTGATTTCAGGTTGCTCATTGCTCAGCGTGTTGGCAGCTAAAGTAGGCGGGCAAGTTAAAATTGACAGATGTGGTGTTTGTTTAAAGGAGAAGCTGTCTTCCTTTCTGGCCTTACTGTTTTTTGACTTTGATGCACCAACACCAGAGGAAATGCAGCGTCATTGTCACTCATGGCATTGTGTTTGATTCCCTGAAATCATATAGCAACTATCAAACACCTTCAGCCTCAGCTCAGCTCCAGAGTGGGTTTTGTGGGTTTCACTTTTCCTATTAGTACGTTGAATGTGAGAACTCTCCATTGAATGTAGATATTGGTGGGTCTTGACAGGTCATGTGCTAGATGCACAACACCACTGCTGCCACAGTTTAGAAGGTTTTATTGAATGGCTGCTGCTGGTTAGCTTAACTGGCTTCATTCTGCATTTATGTCATGTCAGAGTTACCGTAATGACTAGTTTCCTATTTGTAATTACGACCAAGAAACTCTTAATACCTTGCCTGAAAACCAAACAAACACAGATACCTCACCTCAGCCAAAGTAGTTCAAGGTATTTAAACCTGAATAAAATCGATAGTGCTAAATTGTCAACACATTGTAATTTTAACCCTCACACAACCACATGTGCGATTATACAACCATCTTGAGTTGGCCAATGATGTGAACGCTTCCTAGTCAGGGTTATTCCTGGCTCAGAATGGGCCTTTGGGGGGTGACTTTGCGCGACAGTAAGCATGATCGGTACATGTACAAGGCAATGAGTTACCTTACGACCGAAATGTATACATTTTCTTGTTATTTCTGACCATTTGATGAACAAAATATATCCACAACATGAAGAGTATTGTGCCATCACCACCTTAAATATAAATATTATAGCATTAAATAGAAAGTATAATGTTAGTATAATATATTTACAGGTTACGCTTTATTTGGATTATCTGCCTACAGATATTAAATGAGATTCAGCTTTTTCACCCTAAACACCTTTCTCTGATACCACCGCCGTGGTTAAGGTTAGATTAGTGCTAATGTTTGTACATTCATTATAATTTCAGATAATAGTACAGGCTACTTTAGCTTACCATTAGTAGCCTAATATTAATTCCAGTTGGGCAAAACAGCAGTTTCATTTTGGAGTGTTGTTTTCATTGAGCAAGAAAAATGCTCTACATGGTGGTTACTCTCATTTGTTTATGCAAATTACTAACTTGTCAATAATAAAAAGTGTGCATACATAATGAGTTCAACAATCTAAAGTTTGCTGTAGTGCCTCAACCTTTTTTTTTTTTAAATGTCCCGCCTCCTCGTGGCTGTGATTGGTCGGTTCATGAAAAGTGACTTTGAAGAGCTTGATGCACATGGCTGCATGAAAGGCTCCTGATCTCCCTGTGGAGATTAGCAGGCAGGAGAGAATGGGAATAGGTGAGCGTCAAGTAGTGCCCAGAGAACCTGATCTGGAGAGGGCCAGTGCCGATCCGCCAAAGAGTAAAATGTAAACGAGACCGAATCGGTGAATACAGGCACACTTCTAGTACAAACTGCTTTTATATTGTGAGAAATAACAGGAAGTCATTAGCGCAAACTTTGTAGTGGTGTGTTCAGGCGCAGTTAAACCAATACAGCAGCTGGTTTATTAATCCTGCTACATTTGTAAAATACAGCGGCTGTGGATGAGAGGAGAGGTGACTGCTGAAAGTCAAGACGTTGTATTTTAGTAAATGTTCTGCTCGATCAACAGTTGTTTGATTAATGGCTATTAAAACACATTCGGAGAGGATTTGAAATAATTTATTATTTTTTCCAATTCTGATCATTTTGGCGCTGGTGATTTTCCTTTGGCACTTGCTAAAACCTCTTTGGGGGGTGCCAAAAATTTCTCTATGCAGGAAAAACCCTGCTAGTGGTAAACATTGGGGGTCTTTCCCACCTCTACCATCCATCCCATATGACCAAGTGAATGCAGCTTGGTCATCACAACCATTATATACATTTTAACACCAGGATTACCAAGATGAAAGTTTTAATTGGGTTTAAAGACTATGTTTATAGCTATAAGTATATTTGGACCTGATGGCTAATGGTTATTGAGGGAATAATGAATTTGAATTCTACTTGTTTCTCACTGGACTAAACTTTTGTCCTCTCCTGCAGACGTGGTGTTCTTCATCTACCTTTACCAGCGCTGGATCTATCGGGTCGATCCCAACAGGGTCAACGAGTTTGGCACCAGCGGAGTAGACCAGTCGCAGAACAACACAGCAGCGGCAGATGCTGCTCCCGCCGCCATCACGGACAAACCAGAGGAGGATAAGAAGAAGGATTAAGCAAAACCACGCCCATATCTGCCTCCCTGCTGGGGTGAAGAGGACATGTGGAAAGTAGGCAGCGAAGGGAGTTTGTCGTTTAGCCGTCATGGACGCCACTACAAAAAAAAAGAAATGCAGTTCAACTGTTCCCTCTGATTTCTGTGTGGATCCACAGAGAATCATATTCAGTGTAGACTTGGTAAATTCTTATTTCTGTTCCCCGCCCTCTCGTTTTGCAGTTCAAGTGAAGTAAAACAAAACGTGATGTACTGTATTCTGTATGATTTCTCAGAGGGTAACGATGTCCTGGAGTAGAGGTTGGGAGGGGAACGGGTCGCAGTTATACTACTTTTTTTTTTTAAATATATATATATACAGAGAAGAAAGAGAGGCCAAGTGCAGCTTTTGTTCTTTGTGTAGATTCCTTGTGAATTTTTCTTTTCATTCCATGTGAGCACCATGTTTCGGATTGCGTGGAAACTGGTGAGTAGTGCTGGAGGAAACTGGAAAGATTTTGAGTCACGACGCAGGTTTGGGAAGAAGAGGAGGGGGAAAAAAGGCAGTGACTGGAGACGAGATAGATGACCCTTCAGGACACTACCCACAAGACCGTGACTACTACCCTCAATTTTAAACAAATGGTTAATGTTCTAAACTTGAACATAAAAAAAATAACAGCCTTGTTGGTATTAATATAAATATATTAATATTGTCAATGACTTTAATTTTTGTTTTTCAGTCACTGAAGCTTTCTTTTGTATGTCCTCCAACTGTACAGAATCTCAGCTTGTCATGTTAATAATACTGATGTCAAACTGTCTAGCAGAAAATTAATTTGCAAGTCTAACTTTTATTCCCCCCCACCCCTCAGCCAAACAGCTGGTTTTCAAATTGTTTCATGTTCACGCTCCAAACCAGATCACCTTGACAGACACAGTGGAGACAGTCAAGTGTGTGCTGGAAGGTTTACATTGTCTCTAGTTTTAAGTTTGAGTGCTGTAAACCCCGAAACAAAGATGATTCCATGTTGGTACATATTAAATTTTGATTCATTCATGTTTATAGTAAAACGTAAGTGTGATTTAAAATGTCTATGCAAAGCTTTTTATTTATTTTTTATTAGGTTTACTCTTTTAAGCCGCTCTGGGTTCAAGAACAATATTTTTGCATGAAATTTTAATTGTTCACTATTTCTATTGATGTTACAAGAAATACAGCTTAGTTGTGTAGTACTACGGCAATGCCTTTTTACTCACCTTGAAGGCTTGACTTGTAGATTTTTTTCTTTATTGATTTATTCTACCAGTTGGATTCCCTGATGTGGTGTTTGTGTTTTGACAGGAAGCTAATGGCCATCACTATTTTTATTTATTTATTCCCCCACAAGACTTCAAATTGCTTATTTTGTCCAACCAAAAGTCCAATATTCAGATTCAATATATAAAGACAACAATGAGAGAAACAAATAATACACTCATTTAAAGAGGCTGAAACCTGAAAATGTTTAGTTTTTTTGCTTGGAAAAGTGACTTTAATGATTCATTCATCATGAAAACAGTAGCACTGAAATCGTTTTAGCTATTCCATTCAAATTTGCGAAGTTTGGTTGATTTGACAAGCCAAGACTTTTACAGTGCATGTGTGGAAAGACAAGCAATATAATATGATGCCACAAAATAACAGATACAGTACTCCTGTGTTCTTTGTTTTTAAACTTCTGCTAATCATTTTTGGAAGTCAGATTGTTCTACCAGTCAAATTAATCCTCAGACTGAGGCTGAGTTCAATGATTTAAATAGTATTTAGCAAAATAATGTCAATGAGTAATGAGGCCAAAAAAGAATAATACATTTTATTTAAATAGGGCTTTCAAAGGTACTCAGACACTTTACATGGTTTAAAAAAAAAAAAAAAAAAAAGACAAAACCACAATATACAATGTTATCTAACAGTGATAAGATGCTTGATATTTATTTTTCTCGTTGTGAATCATCCCCCTGATTGGGAAACACTGATTTAGGATCAAGCCAGATCAGCCAGACACAGTCAAGCTGTCCAACTATATTGTGGCCCTATGTTCACATCTCGGTTGTAGCTTTCCTATCTGTAACACCACAGCTGCAATTGTGTGTTGTTTGTATAACTTGGGTCACTGCTTCCTGTAAACGCCTCAACTTTCGCTTTCCTTTTCCTTTACACGCCTGTCCTTGTGCAGCCAGCAGGTGTCCCCGTTTCACCTCATAACTTGAGCAAAGAGAAAGGAGAGTGGAATACGTCACTTTTTAAGGGCAGTTATTTAACGTGCTGTGACGTTATTGGTGCAGTTTGACAAGTGTAATTATTCATGCTAAAATTAGGAATTCCCGCTCCCGTTTGTCAGAAACGGGAGCTGCAGCAGGATGATGGAACACGGATACACATGGGTGACAAATGAAAGCTAAAACCAGGATAAACCCCAGATGAAGTGTCTTGAGTAGGACGTCAGGCCACCACGAAGCTCCTGAACCGCTTCAGCGATCCTTGCCGCGACTGTGGAACAACATTAGAGGGATGAACACCAGATACTATTTATGTGTGTGTGTGTGTGTGTGTGTGTGTGTGTGTGTATATATATATATATATATATATATATACACACACACACAATCTTTATTTAATCAGGTAATGTCATTGAGATCAAGATCAAGAAGAAAAACAAAGCCAGACAAAAAAGACGTTTGGCTTTAGGCTCATTTAAATAAGTTTTGTTATGACGAGCGCGGAGTAAAAAGCTCAAAACGATTACATAATGGAAAGAAAACGTTTTCCTTTTTTGGGGAGGTCGCAATTGTCGTTTAGGGTCAAGATGATAAATATTCAAATGCGTGAAACATTGAGTTTAATAAGGCTGCAGTATAGAGGGGGAGTTCCCATCTGGGAGGTGACGTGATGTCGAGGGGATTTCCACACTGAGCCAGCCAATCAGAGCGAGCACTTGCGGAAACACAAAAACTGCCGCAAAGACATCTTCGTGCGTTATTCGACACATGGCTCCGAGTCGGTTTAACGAGTTTTCACGGCTGACATCGTTTCTGTTGTGTCTGTCATACTGACATGAGATGAGCTGTTTTGAAGAGAGAGAGACAAGTTTTGATCTAGAACAGAAGACCGAAAACGGAAAATATCCGGTTTGGAAAGAGTTCAAGGACGCGACGGCGGAGTTTACGCTCTTTAAGTGCTCCTCCTCACACACGGACATCTTAAACATGAAAGACACGGACATCTTAAACGGCAATTCTGGTGAGTTTTAAGTGTTAATCTTTCACTGTGGGTCTGTTTGTGTGGGTGAAGCAGAGTGAGAGGGCTGACATCATCGCCAGGCATGTGATTTGTCACAGCAGAGGAGCCAACACCCATCCCGGGACCTGAGCACTCCTACCCGGCTCTCGTACGGCTCTGCTTTGTGCAGGGTTAACATTCACAATCCGCAAACCGGTGTGGTTTTTTCAATTTTTTTAATTCTATGTTCACTGACAGTTTGCTTTCTGTTTGTCCTGCAGAGCGAGGGGTGTCAGACATTGGTGAGTATACGGACTCTGTTTTCTCTTCTTTTCTTTTTTTTGCCTCATCCAGTCATGCATGTGTGTGTGGGATGTCAGGCGTTATTGCAAAGTGTGGCCTGACTCTGCCTCATGCAGAAGGAGAAGTTGTCTGTTATTAGTGTTTCTGCTTCCTCATCTTATTGTGATGTTTCTCACGAAGTCTCTGGTTAGTAAAGTGGCCCTGAGGTGCAAAACAAAACATTTCAGAAATACAAAATAACTTTTCAGAAAACTCAACATGCTTTAAGAAGCATTGCATGTATGCATTTAAATATATTCTGTGCATTTAAGGCTGCAACTTATGTTGATTGTTCATTAATCTATCTATTTTATCACTTAATTGTTTATCTGTTAAAAATTAGTGAAAAATGTCAATTAGGCTGCAATTCCCCAAAACACACATTTGTATATTTAAATTGTTGACTTTCATTGTGTTGCCTAAAACCTAGAGATGTTGAGTTTAGAGAAGAATAAGGAAACCAGCAATTATTCACAAGTTTTCCCTCCACATTTTGTCTTAAAAATACTTTGTTTACCTGCTCATTCATTTTCTGTTGATTGCCTAATAAATGAATAATTTTTGTCTGCCTTGTTAGTATTGTACACACCAGTAAACTCTAGTTCCTATTTGGTTGGAAAGTGTCAGAAACAGGTATAAACTGTGCATGGTATTTTTAAGAACTGCTAACCATAGCAACAGTACTCCCATTTGTTTTACCAGTGAGAGTTAACCGGTAATGATGTCTTAACTATGGAGTCAGCTAACTAACCAACCATATTAAAACAACACAGGTATAACACATGTACATGTACTTGTATTTTCGATAATTGGCCCTTGTATAAGCATGATAATGGAACTTTAGGTGTGCTGATATAGAAAATAATGGAGTGGAGTAAAAAACATTTTTAAGTTCGGCATACACAAACAAAAAGGCATGATCTTGTTATACACTGCTGTAACACTGAGCATAAAACACATTTAAAATAAATACGGAAATATAACCTATACATACATGTCTCGTGATGAGTGTAGTTATTATATGGCAGCTTGATATTTAGTCACATTGATTGAATACATGACATTTTCTGTGTAAGATAGTGCATCTTTACCTGGATGATAAAGGTTATTTTTCATAAAAATGTATATATGTTTTATGATGTTCATGTTCGTTGCAGCCTGACAGGAGCAAAAGACTGACACAGAACACTATCTTGTTTATCATCAATCATTTTTTACAGACCTCATTCAAGAAATCATCCGAGAGGACGGTGAGCGGTCGGGTTCCTCCCTCCTCCCTGGACCTCCTTCCCCTCCTCCTAACTTGCGCTGCCAGCCTAACGGCCAGAACCAGAGGAGCCTCCGACGGTGCTCCTCACCGTCCTCAGAACCTGTCCTCTTGGCGAGAGGCACCCCATGTCAGGTGAGTGGGGTCAAAAACATTGCAGTGAGATTTATTTGTTCCAGTGAAGTTGTTTGTGTTGTTTTGATCTATCTGGTCAGTTGGCGGTTTCCTACATTTCCCAGGATGCCTATTCACAATACTCAGAGGGCAAGAGTGAAGGTGTGTCTTTCAGGTGTGAGTTAAATTGATAGATGACAATGGATCCTTTTATAAATGATTATTGGATATCAGGTGTTAGAAAAGCTGTATGTTTTTAGCTTTAATTTCAAACCTGAATACAAAGCTCGTTTTGAAGATCAACCAGACTTTCCTGTCTTTACCCCAGTCAGACTAAATTAATGCCAAAACAGATAGTCCATTAATCCATTAGTCAAGTGTCAGTAAATTCATAGACAACAATTTTTATATATTTAATTGTTTAAGAAAATTTATTATAAATTTTATCGACTCAACGATTAATCAAATTATCAAAATAAGTAACCGATGATGGGCAAAGTCTTTTACTGCCGCCTTAGACTACATACATTAATTTCACAATATTGATCCAGGCAGGCAGAGACAAATGTTTACATATCAGTGATGTGGTCAGTTATTTTGTCCATATGGCCATCATTGAGCTGGTGATGGCTTGTCAATATTAAACTCAACAACAGAGGAAGCTTCAGATAGGCTTCTTCTCTGTTAGGATGTAAAAAACAGAGGAGACTGCAGGTTTAGTGAAGAGGTGTTTTTTTTTTTTTTTTTTTTTATGTTGGTGGGAGAAACTGCAGTGGAGTATACCTCCAGCCTGCAGATGGTTAGGTCTTTGTTGTTGTACAGGGCAGTAGTTAGGGAGCCTGGCAGGTCTGTCTTACAATAAAGCACGTGATTTACAGACCATAGGGAGATCAGAAGTGCTGTAATCTGATAAGACTGTAGTGACGCTGTAGCCTGCACAGCCCGTGTAATACTGTAGGGCAAACAGCTGAAGCTCTTTGGAAATTACCTGCATGTGAGATTGCTTCAAGTTTTTGTGTGTAAATTCACTTTATTAATGAATTTCTGAGTCTGCGATAGAGGCTAACACGCCACCTCCTCAGCATGCTCCTCTGTTGCAGGAGGCTGAGAGAGAGCGGGGGGGAGTGGTTGGAAAAACTGTAATCTGACTCCTGCTTTCAGTTTGCCCATCCTTTCTGTTTACTAGCCAAACCTACCGTGGGTTGAAAGGTCACATTCTTCGCCCTGCGTCGCTTTTCAATTGGTCGATCCACATCAGGTTGCGCTGACTTTATATTTCCTGTTCTGTCAGGCTTTGTTTTAGCTCTAGTGTTTTAAGGTATGCCCGGGCTAACACGCTCGAAGACGCACACATGAACAGACATCTGTGGCTGGGCAGGATATTGTGAAACATGATCTCATGCAGTGGCATCACCCAGATCTCTGCAGCAACGGCGTAATGCGCTCTCAGCCTGATTAATCGCTACACGGGAGACAAAGGGGTCAACTTCTTTACTTCTTTGTTCCCTGCAGGTTTGATTATTCATCTGTCGTTAAACTGTTCCTCCAGATAGACCAAAACATAAGTGTGTTTTGTGAATTTTACATTTTTGTTTGTGCTACCTTTTCTTTGTTTTGCAAGACATTGAAGCCATTTAGAGGTCTAACTGGGAGGGAAGAATGGCGAGCGTGGCAGATAAAGGAAAATGAACAGAGAGAGAGACACAACAACAAGTCTCAGTGGGAACGGAAAGAGCTTTGTAGTCTGTGGTGAAATGCAAAAATAAGACATTTAACTGCAAGATGAGCAGTCAAAGTAGCACATGGTTAACTATGCAGGGATAGAAAGCACATTTATGAAGACAAATGAGACGAAAAGCATGCAGTGACTCAGTTTTGCTGCTTGGTTTCACTGCAGCTATGATGCAGAATTCTTCACCTACAGTGTCATCTGCTATAATGGATGACAGACATCTCTGTTTTATGCTTTAAAAACATGCCTGTGGCGGTTTATTTTTGAGTGTAAGTTAGTGTTGTTTTCTAATGCTACGGGGAAGCCTGTATACCTTAGGGGCCTGAAGTATCAATACAAGAATGTACAAATGCTCTTTTCTATGTAAAATCATGCATTCAGAATTATTCCTAGCTAAAAGTACCTATCAGTGAAATGTTCTTAAAGTATCTAAAGTAAAAATACTGTTTTTTGAATTCTGGCCCATGTGACTGATAAATTATTATAAGTTAAATTATTAGATTGTTAATACTGATGCGTCAATGTGTAAGAAAGTACCGCTTTACTGTTGTAGCTGGTTGAGCTGGAGCTAGTTTTAACTACTTTATATACATTTTTTTAGTGAAATGTCAGATGTCTTTACCTCCTGTCATCTGAAACATGACATGATTCCCCAACTAGATGCTGTTTTGTAAGCCAAAAAGGTTGGGAACCACTGGATAAATCTTGAACAATGCTTTTTATAAGGTTACCAAATGTGTTTTTATGTAAAACTCTTAATCTGAAAAGTAACTAGTTGCTTCCAGATAGATGGAATATAAAGAAGCAGATAATTTAAATGTTCACAAATGTCTATAGACACTGTGTATATTGTTACAGGTCAGGAGAAGACATTAGTAGAGAAGTTGCTACCTGTTATGAATATCTGGGTATAAATGTCTTTCTCTTAGGCATCATATTGGAAACGTTAAGAATCAGACACTGAAGTTTCATTTTTATATCAGACAAAGGTTTCTCTTTAGATGCTTCAAAGTAAACATTTTATAGCCGGCTGGGGCAATTTCTATCTTATCTCTGCAAATGGTTGATACAGGGTTGATCATGCATTATCTGAGATCAAATAATATAAATCTGCTGACTCCATTATTTATTGTCCCTGTTCTTGGGCTCAATGGTTTGTATTATTTTATCTGTTGTCTGATTTAGTGTTGTTAGTCTGCATTTTTTAATGCTGCTGTCTTGGCCAGGTCTCCATTGCAAAAAAGGTAAGTTGCAACCTCAACTTACCTGGTAAAGGTAAACAAAGGTAAAATAATGTAGTTAATATGGTTGTGTTTTGTTTTTTTTTCTCCTCCACCACAGCCAACCTGCACCTTTCCTCAGCCCCTGCAGCAGTTTTGCACTTCCAGAGAGATGGCTCATCCATCCCGGGGAGCCGGTTCCTCACGGCGTGGTCGAGGCTCCTCAAGTTTGCTAGTCTCAAGGAGCTGTGGCAGTGTTTCTTCTCTGAACCGGGGAGGCGACGCTGAGATGCTGGAGCGGATTCTGGAGAAGCCGAAATTGGTGGTGGTGGAGGAGCCAAAGGAGAGAGGCATGAGGTTTCGCTACGAGTGTGAGGGACGCTCGGCCGGCAGCATTCTGGGGGCGTCCAGCACTGAAACCAACAAGACTCAGCCTGCGATAGAGGTAGACACATTGCAGCTAAATTAGTTTTTTTGCTTTGGACCTTAAGGGGGTTTACTAGCTTTTTGAGACAGTTGGAGAGGTTTTAACCGCAGTTGATTTTGTATGATGTGTGCACACTTGAACCCCATGTGAAGACGGGTGGAGCTGGAAGGATGTGGGTTGTTAGAGTCAATTAGAAAGTCCCCACAAATCCCAGCTCAAGTGTGGTCAAAGACAGGCGGTTTATCCCCTGCCTGCATACTAACAAACCCTCCTACACATTCATCTTCAACTTATACAAACACCATCACACAATACAGACGACACTTGTAGCCCAAGCACTGGTGATCAGATTTTTTTTTTATCATACATTGGAAAGAGGTTTCCCAAATGGGTCAATGATAACACACAGAAAAAGGACGCTAGCTGTCAAATGCAGAAAAGAGAGAACATTTAACATGCTCAAATACAGACGCTCCATGACATAAATAACACACAAAAGGCATGGATTAGCAGCTACTCTGAATTGCAACAGCTTGGCCCTTCTCCTTAGGCGGCATCTGCTGCATATTTTAATATTTAGTTCATAAACATTTTCTCACGTTTAAGGATTTTCCGTCTTCTTCCTACTTCTCTATTTTATATTCCTGACCTTTTCTGTCTTTCAGATTCAGGGTCCCATTGACCACTTAAAGAAGGTCACAGTTACTGCGTCTTTGGTGACCAAAGACCTCCCACACCGGCCTCACCCCCACTGCCTGGTGGGTAAAGACTGCCCGAACGGTTCAGGGATCTGCGTTGTCTCGTTCAATCCTAACAGCAACCGGCGTCACAGGTGTGCCCCCATCTCATTTATCTTTTCCCCTAACACATCACATAACTTCTTATTAAATACACATTTTCTTTACCTAAAAATCTTAATATCTTACTCTCTTTCTTGTTTTTGCATTTCACCCATTATCCTTTTCGTCATTCCACCACTGAACATACAAAATGTGTTGTTGTTTTTTTAATTCTTCTTCCCTTCTTTGACTTGCAGCTTTGCTAACCTTGGTATCCAGTGTGTGAGGAGGAAAGAGCTGGACGTTTCACTTCAGAAGAGGAGAAATCAAAATATCGACCCCTTTCAAAGTAAGATGGCTTCTAACACATACCACTCAGAACCTAGTTAATATTGTCATCTTCCTATACATCCATATATTTAAACATAAATGATGATAGATTTTCTTCTTTCCTAACTAATTAATTGTGACTCCTCTAAACAGACTTCATGATTGATTTTTGTGTTTTTTCATCCCTCAGCTGGTCACTCAAAGGGCATTGAAGACATGGACATGAATGCTGTGCGTCTGTGTTTTCAGTGTGATCTTGAGTGGGAGGATGGCAGAAAAGACTCTCTCAATCCAGTTGTGTCCAGCCCCATCTATGACAAGAGTAAGACCTCTCTACACAGATACTTGTAACTCTGCACCAAAAATATCTAAATGCATTTCCTGATTCTCACGCAATGTCCTGTTTTTGTTTTGTTTTTTTCCACAGAGGCCACAACTACGTCACAGCTGAAGATCAGCTGTTTGAACCAGTACAGAGGCTCCTGCGCTGGCAAGACAGAGATCTACATGTTGTGTGACAAAGTACAGAAAGGTAAGAGGAACACCTTCAGTCAAGAGTTTTGTGTCCATCCTGTTGCAGATGTACAAAATATAGAGATGGTGGACAAGATTAGGCTCAAACAGCAAGGTACATGGGAAAAGCTCAACTTTTCATTACAGGAGTGAGGTGTACAAAACATCCTCTGCTGGGTCAGACACACACCAGACCAAACAGCAGACAATCAGAGTAATAAGCTGCGTTTTGACCAGAGGAACTGTACCCCGGAACTAGGAACCTTTGGAGGAACTCGCTGCGTTCCCACCAGAGGGACCAGGGTCTAAATGTAGTTCAGGGGTCTTCATTTTACCCTCTAAAAAGACCCTGCTCGTGGGGTAGTACTAAGTATCTGTACTTTGGGGGGGGGCGGGGCTTGCCTTGCATTGAATTTATGAATGGGCGAGTAGAGGCTACTGGCTTTAACTGAAGAATGTCGGGTATTTGTCTGCCACTGCTCCTCTCTTTTCCACCATTGTTTGCAAACCAATAAATCACAATAGCACACATCTCGCCGCTGTTCACCTGAGATCATCGTCGGCATTAAATGTAAATAGCAGCCAGCCTGGGTGGGTTTACAGCGAACAGCTGATGGAGTTACTACTGAGTCCAGAGTTGTTGTTTTTAAGTTTTCATCAGTCAGGAAGTTTCTACACAGAGCTCAAGTCGGTCTCCTCCTCTTCAAAACCAGCTGAGCAGCTGATTACAGCAGGTAATAAAGCTCACTTTCCTCCGACGCTCAGGCGACACAGATGAGTCCTGCAGCTGATCTGCAGCTCTTGTCACTGGAAATGTTTTAATAACTTTCCAAACTGTTGCGCTTTTATTTTTGTGCTGCTTTCTCTGTGCTGGACTTATTTTAAAAACTTTATGGTTTTATCCAGTTTGTTATTAAATGCGTAACGAACTTTATCGCGTGTCTCTTCATTATAGCTCCCACACAAAAAAGCTGCTTTAATGGTCAAGCTAAGCCTATAGTTTATTATTATTATTGTTATTTATTATTATTATTATTATTGTTATGTTATTATATTCCAGTCAGATCTGATCATTTATAAATGTTGCTCAGGGATCGTGGTTACAAATAATGATGCCTGTGCATCGCTGTGTACAGCCAGGCCTACAGCCTACGTCAGCTGGTTAATTTGCCTAATCTTCGCAGATCTTTAGACCACAGTGGAAACACACCACAGTGGGCTGAAGGAACCTTTTAGTTCCTTGAAAAGAGATCTGGGGACTTAAAAGTCTGATGTACTCTTGGTCAAAAAGCACCTATATATGATGATGTGACTCTGCCTCTCTAAGCTCCACAACAATTAGCGAAACAAGATTTCTGTGAAGGTTCCCAGTCATAGTTATCTAGGAGAGGTTAAAATCAAGGGCATCTTCAACCAAGTCTAGTTGCCCTTGATGCCCTTAACCTTCTCTGGATAACTGGATATGGGTACTGTTCATACGAAATAAGGCATACTTCTGTAACTTGTGTTTGCACTTATGGACTTAGATACCCAACCACCTGGACTTGGTTGAAGTCCAGTTGCCCTTGATTTTAACCTTCGTTGGATAACTATGTCCTGGATGACTGAGAATCTTCATAGACAACATTAGAATTGATGATGTGAAGTGTTGTGAACTTGACTTGAAGCTAAGGAAGATGCTTAAAACACTTGTGGTGGTTAGGATGGAGCAGTAAAAAGCACACTGGATAACATCTGATTAACATGGCTCATCCACAGATGACATAGAGATCATCTTCAGGCGAGGGTCGTGGAAGGCGAGTGGGGAGTTTGCCCAGACAGACGTTCACCGGCAGATCGCCATCGTGTTTAAGACTCCACCCTACCAGGACCAGGACATCACAGAGGAGGTTGAAGTCAGCGTTGCTCTGCGTCGCCTCTCAGACCAGATGGAGAGCGAGCCTGTTAGCTTCACGTACCTGCCACATAACCCAGGTCAGTCTGGGCTGTACAGCGCCGGGTGGTCTAAAATGGATGAAATGTACTTTCAAGCTAGAAACAATAACAGGAGGTTAATTGTGAAGTTTTACTGTCCTCATTTCAGATCCATATGAGGTGAATCGGAAGAGAAAAATAAAGTCCGACATCAGCCTCAGAGAGAAACCTTGTGTGACAGGTGAGGCCTGAACGTGTTTTTCTTTTTTCTTTTGATCTGATGTTTCCTTTATTCATGTTTCTGGTATCAAGAGGCAGTTATGAGGTAAACCGATTCAGATTCACAAATGGCTTTTGTGTCTGTCAGACTGCTTGTCTGAATTTGCACTTTTCACATTTTGACTTGTCATTGCAGGAAAAGCACAGGTGTTAATAATGATGGCTCTGTGCTACTAAAGCTGGGCAGACACAGTGCGTTTTCATGAATCTTGTACGTTGCGTTTAGTCAAACCACAACTTGCGACTTTTATGCTCACACTGAACATAAGCACAGAACCCCACGTCGATTTTGTATTTTGACAATTTTAATATTATTATAGTTTGGCCGTGCACTCAACCTCTACAAAAGAGAGAAAGGCAGCATTTCTTTGTGCAATTGTACTATGAATGGAAAACAAGAAGAAGGAAAAAAACAGAGCTGCAGATGGCTGGGAAATGCAGAAATGTGAGCTGGAGGTGTCTTCTGCAGTGCAGATCAGTTGTATATCACAGAACAGCTTCATTAAAGGCAGTTTTAACAAGTAAAATACTACTCCAGTAATATATAAAACAAGCTCACTAACAGTTTATAACAGTCTGATATCCAACCTGGCTGTTGTCAGATCTGTGGAACTGGTCAAACTAGACCAACCAAAATTTCATACATGCCAGAAACCCATCCATTCGTTAGAGCAGCAGATCATTGATCGTTTAATTAATCAAACGTCGAAGCAAGCTTTGTCCATTTAGTGTTTGCCAATAAGTCGTGACAGCAAGCCTGTAAAATACCAGGACCTTGAACACTGTTGTACCAAGATGTGTTTGTTTATTTTGCCTACCATCATTGATAAAAATGGGGTGGGCAAAATTGTCACTCAATATAGCACCACAAGTGTGACCTCAAATGACCTCTTCAAAACAGTTTACATTATTTATATAAATTATTTATTCATGAAGGTAGGATTCATTGTAGGGTTGATTAGACTGCATTCGTTTTAGCTGGGTGTTTTTTGGGCAAAGATTTAAATAATATTGAGGTTCATATAGCATAATCAGAATCATGTGTCCTGATCCAAGTATAAGGTTCTCTCTACCTTATAACTGACATGATGACTGACTTTCATCATGTTTCTAACAGGTATTTATTTTCTTTGTAACACAATCTGTTTCCTATCCTGCAGCAGAAAGTGCACCTGCGGCAGAACAGCCTTTCCACTTCCCCCAGCCGCCAACCATGATGTCTCCAGACGAGAGGCTTTGTACCGCCCTGCCTGTGGATTCTCCTTTAGGGCAAATGTGTTACAACGAGCCCCCGGACTCAAGCACTGGCATTGATCCGGCCCTCCTTAATCAGTTGCTAGAAATGCCTGCATTTTTGGAAATGCTTGACCCTCACCTCACCTCGTCCATGCTCTCAAGCTTTGAGCAGGGGGCTGACGCCAACTCCACGTTTGCCAACACTGAAAACATGGATATGAACTATACCCAGAACTTTGGCTCATACACTCAGGACTTTTCCCATTACAGCGACTTGCAGTTCAACATGCTCGTCAATGAGAGTCAGACTCCGCAGTCAGAGGCACAGGACAGCTCCTCCAACATAGTTCAGGTGAAGACCGAAGAGGAGCTATGAGGACGGGATAGTCAGGATCATGTAGCACTCTTACACACCCTCCCTGTTCATTTTAGAAGCATAGTTAGACATATTGGGGAAATATGCTTTTTACCTTTTGGACAGAGTCAAGCTAGCTGTTTCTCCCGAGTCCAGTCTTTGTGCTAATGTAAGCTAACTGGCTGCTAGCTTCAGCACGAGAGTGGTATCCATCTTTTCATCTAACTCTCTGCGAGAAAGCAAATAAGCACAGTGTTTAACTTTTCTCGTAACCCTTCTGTATCTAGAGCCAAACAAGATTATGTTGTCCCAAGATGAAACAAGACGCCTCCTTTGTTTGTAGACTCATTTGGTTTCATAACTCTGCACTGCTGCCCTCTCACTAACCCAATATCTCTGTGTTAATGCCTTGCTGGTCAAGGCTTTAGCAACCAGGAGCAGGTCAACATTCCCACATATTTTCCTGTAATGCTGCTAGCATTAATCTTCAGGCTTAAGGTCAGAGAATGGGGAGTTAAGCGTTGAGCTTAAAAAGAGAACTTGTGAACAGAAGAAATCCGTCCATAAATTGCTGTTGTAGTAAATCATTGGCTGTAATACCTGTCACATAATGTTTGTGTAAAGTCTGTTGCATTTGTTTCCACATGGCTTAGGGGAAACATCCCGACTTCCTACGAGAAGTTATTTGCAGTGTGAAAGGATTTTAGTTTTAAAACACAAAAAGTCTCAAGTAGAGTAGTTTCAGATCTGTTCTTCATATTGTTATTGTCTGTTGTTACTCTCTGCTGATGTGGCCGTCAGCTGACTTGTTTAATATTTAATCAACTTAAATGCAATAGAAACCAGTCCTCTTCTGTCTGTGTCAGTTCCTTTTTGTTCTGCAGTTTCACTCTCGTGCCAAGCATTCAAAGTTCCACACAGCTTGTCACTAGTCCAACTCCACCCCCTCGCTGTAGCACTGTAGTGTCAATATTTCAGAAAAGACGAAATAAAATGGCAGTTTTATTTTTGTCGTGTCGTTACTTCCTCTGAAACTGACCACCTCTCTTGTAATGATTTGTTTGACTTCAAAAGAAAAAGTATTTTAGAGTGACACAAAAAGGGAAGATACTTTTGAATGTGACCTCTCTTTAGCTGCTTGCCTACGCACATTCCTAACCTGCTCGCTCATTTAAAAAACATTGAATCTTGGCAATGAGTAATGCTTTTCAGGTCAGACCTTTAAATGTCAGCAATGACACAAGACAAACATGAATAACTTGTGTGCCTGAGAAATTAGACAGAAACGTTCACATGAAAAGTGTCCTTTGTTTACGGTTATCAGACACCTTCAGGTGTCTCTAGTCAGCGTCTTAACCTTACACCAGCAACACAATGCCTTTTTATTTTCATAAACTTGTCCGTCACCTCTTACAGTAATCCAGGCTAAAAAAAATATCTCTATTTCTCCTTTTTTTGTGTGGTCTCTGCTGAGTCTTTTGTAAGGCCACATGCTTATTGGGAAACTTGTAATGCTACAGAAGTTTTCACAGATTGAGACAGATTGGAAAATTAACATTCATTTTGAAATGTCAAACATTTGTCACCGTTTTTGTGCATATTTTTAGCAAGTTTATAATCCTTTAATAAAACCTAGTTTTTGATAGTATTAATGGTCTGCAATTTATTCGGCAATAGCCATTCAATGTATTTATATTTTATTATTCTTCTGGTTTTTACAGTGGTGGAGTCGCCATAATTTAAATTGCCTTCCCAAACAGACACGGGTTGCTTTTCTGTTGTATTTCTGACAAAGTAGCTATTCAAGGAACGTTTGCTAGATGGATTTATTCGTCACTTCAAAATGTTTGTTTTGTCTAAAAACCAAAAGATACACAACTTTTTTTGAAAAAAGGAGCAAATCCTCACATTTAAGAAGTTGAAACCAGTACCCGAGCTGCACTTTTCTTTATGAATTACTTAATAAGTACACCAATTAATTTTTTGGCACTTAGTGGACTAATTGTTTCAGCTTTGTTCACTCTTACACCCCCAAACATGTTTTTACTGAGCAGTAAACAAACAATGGTGGCAAATGTGTAATTGCAGTATTGACCATTGTCAGTCATCCATGCTGTGCACCTGGTTACCACATGTGCTGTTGTTGGGCGTTGGTTCAAGCAGGTGTTAAATTTTGTGGCTCTGTCCGTCACTGTTGACTTGAATTGAACACATGGCTTACAGACTCTGGGAAACTCCACACTGGGCTGGTTTCCAAAGTTTTTATCTAGTGTGCACAAAGAAATACACACAATTTCCTGTTAAATGGTACCACCTTACCCTGCTATTAGGACTCGTCCGGACATGTCTACTCTTATCTGTTTTCATGGTCATCCTCTGCTAAAGGCAGAAAAGTGGTGGTTTAATAAAGACTTATAGCCTTTATACAATTTTTATTGATTCCAGCCTTATTTGTGGCCTTATAATGGCCTTATTTATGGGCTAAAAGTATTAGCATACTACAGGATTTTCTTTCAGGTTTATTTATATAAAAGATTTGTTTTGTTATGAGGCTTTAGCAGGAACAGTGGCATCAACAAAATTTTAAAGGAATAGTTAGCCATTTTTAGGAAATGCACTCATTTGCCTTCTTGAGAGTTAAATGACAGTGATACCAGCAAATATGAAGCTGCAGCTTAGCATATCTTAGCATAAAGACTGGAAACAGCGGGAGCAGCTAGCTTGGCTCTTTCCAGAGGTAACAAACTCTGCCTACCACTTACTGCAGGCGGCCAAGAAATAGTTCGGCACATAACCATATCGTTTTTACACTTGTATGGAACAAAAAATACAATGTGTCAATTAGTGAGACTTAGAGGTGCTGGCAGGGAGATTTTGTTACCTTCAGAGAGAGCCTGGCTAGCTGTTTCTCCCTGTTTCCAGTCAAACATGAGAGAGAGGTATCAATAAGCGTATTTTCCCAAAATGTCAAACTATACCTTTAAAGCCAAGTTTACAGTCTGCAGGGAAGCAGTGTTTAAGAGTAACAATTCTCTTGAAATCACGTGGGTTTGCCATGAGAATGGTATTTGTGATCAAAGACAACTGTGAACTTGACCCATGTATGTATGTAGTAAAAGGATTATTTTCATGAGACTTCTGAAAAGACTTCCTACTCCAAATGTTCACATGGAGGTCATCTGTCCCAGCACTAGTCACTTAAAAACTTCATGGACTGTAAATTAGTTTTATTAATATATTTTTGGAAAGCCCAGACACGGTCTGTGCTCGCCCTGTATTAGACTGGACCACCGCCCAAAGGCTTTAACAACCGCATTACTGTGAATTAGGATTAGACAGGAAGACCAAGCTCAAATTGAGAAGATGAATGTGCACCTTAGACTTTCACTGTGGTGAGTAGTTGCTGTGACAGTTAATTATTTGCTAAAATGAATCAAATGAGGTGAAACAGACTTCCTTCAAGTATTCTCGTTATTATATCAGACTGTGAAATGTTTGTCATCTTAATATGATACCAGTTTCAGATTGTAGGCATAAACCTAAAGTCTGAGGTTTGTGGAGACTCTGGGGAATACTGAGCACACATGATGAGTCATGTGTGGTGGAAACAATCAAATATAGAAATGATGATACGGAGAGATTTAACCTGGGGGATTGTACGGTTTGCCCTCAGGAAGGGGTGGACACACCACTTTCACTGGAATCACACCCTCTCAGGTGATCACAACCGTTTAAAAGACACTTCCTGGTAAATCATGCCTAGTCGTGGAAGAAGTACTCAGACTCTTACTAAAGTAAAATTAGCAAGACCACAGTGTAGATATCCTTTGTTACTGTTATTCATGCATTCAAAATTTTACAAACATTTTTAGCATCAATACAGACTTAAACCACTCTGCCTTCCAAAAATCAATTGCCTCTTCTCAATGACCCCTGTCCAACCAAATGTCAAGTGTATAGGTTCATTACACTTGACTCACTAATCACAGAATTCTACTGGATGAAAAAACAAACAACTCACAACACTACAGAAAAGCAAACTGCTTGGAGGTTTAAATGCCCCAAATTTCCTCTACTGTAAGCTAATCAATTACAATATCTCACAGATTGGATTCACTCAAATGTTCACTAAGACCCATGGTTAGAAATTGGTAAAGAAACAGATTGATTACAATGCAACACACTCCCTGTCAAAGATTTACCATCGCTTCCAACAACAATACAAAAAAAAAAACATACATGCTACAAGAACACAGTCAGCCTCAACCCTGGAAGCATCCCAATTTGGAACAATTCAGGCTTTGTAGTAAACAGCCGCACCTTCTCTTTAAATTAATGCGAAATCAAAGGAATCACCGACTTACAACAACCCTAACACTGTTGGAAAACAATACCACATTAAAGCTGCATGAATTAAACCAGAAGTTTGATTTGGCTCAAGTACACTTTCTACAAGAACCACAACTGAAAAACGCACTCAGGGAAAAGACCTTTTGCAATATCTGATCCATGAAACCACCACAGTCAAAATTATACAGACTCATATGATCAACCAAAGACTCCACCATGACCAGAATGGCCCATTTCAGAATAATGTTTGTTACTGGATTATAATAATACATAATATATAATATAGTTATGCAGCCATGTGTTCCATCACTTTGTTGCAGCTGGAAACGGTGGGGCTTATTTTTATTACTATATATACAGCGTATAGTGTATAGTTAGTTATGTATATGTTAGTGTATATACAGTGAATTTACTCTCAGGATCAATTGTCTTGACTTAACAAGAATACATCATTATTTATTTGTTGTTTATACTTTGTATTACTAATCTCAATCTGTTAAGTGATCAAATAAAGTGAATATAATATAATAGTTGCCTTTGAATTGAAGTGGAGTAAAAGTAGTAGTAACTCAAAAGTGTACTTAAATACAGTACTTGAGTAAATGTGCTATTATTTACAGTATTTATATTAACATTTTATTAAGATGATTAATACTATTGGTGTTAAAATTGTATTTACAGTGGTAGAAAGTGACAGGCACCATGCCGACCTGTATGAGAAGGTGATTTTAATAACATTTCCATTTCATTTTGATATATTTTATGTTTCCTGGAAAATCAATAGACAAGGTTTTTTTGGGGCTGATCACGCAAATGAAATACAGAGTACAAATCAAATTACTTCATCACTTTTGTGCAAAAATAAAGTAAAAATCCAATATTGACATAAAGCAGAAATACTTTAAGTAGCCATATATGGTTTAAAGGGTATGGCTCTGACAGTTAATAGGTTTATAAAGTCATATTACCCAGCCATACTGTCCTTTATTATTAAAGAAAGACAAGAATTAAAGGTAATATTCTGTTGTACCTGCTTGTGAAATATCCTCACAAATAAAATAAATGTCTCCAGAGCTCCACAACAGGCATATGTGAGCTCAGTTAACAAGGTGAAGAACTCAGATTACTGTGGTTAGGCCTAGTCCCAATTAGACGCATGTCCTTTTACTGGCCTGGTGTGGCTACACATTTTGACAAGCTTGAACTAGTTCAAGCTGCTTAGATCATGCATACAAATATAATGTTTAAACTTTTATCAATATGGACATGCTACACATCGTTAGTTTGGTTAGATTCTCTGAATCGTTTAGTTCCTTTTACAGAAACAAAGAGTATTATTCATTGAGATTTAGGTATGGTAATTTCAGTGATTTAAGCAAATGAAAGCCCAGGCTATTAATTAAAGTTTTGCTGTAAAAACTTTAATACTTTCTGAGGACTTTTTAAAAATCAAACTAATGAACTGAAGACAGATTTTCTTGTTGCTGCAGGAGGGTTAACAATTTTTTAGAAAAAACACTAGACTCTGAATGCCTGAGTCTTTCTGAAGCTGTACTGTAGTTAGTACAGTTAGTAAGTAAGTAACTTTATTTATATAGTGCCTTTCAAGAGCAGAATGTCAAACCACAAAAAATAAGGCAACAGATGTAAAAACAGG